GGATGAATGTACAAACGAGTACAATAATCCGAATATGTGTTATCATGTTCCTTAAATAATTAGAAAATTCGATATTTAGAAAAAAATATTAAAAAAAAATAAAAAATATTAAAACTTTAAGTTCCCGTTCTGCAGAACATGGGAACTTGAATAATCTTCAAGTTCACGTGTTCTGCAGAACGGGAACCTCATGTTTTTTGAGTCCTCCGTTCTGCAGAACACGGGAACATGAAGATTATTCAAGTTCCCGTGTTCTACAGCACGGGTGATTCATATTTTTTTTTTCTCCGAAAATAAAAATTCAAAAAACAGTTTGAAGGTCCCGTTTTCTGGAGCACGAAATTTTGAATCGCCCGTTTTCTGGAGCACGGAAACTCGAAGAAAATTCAAGTTCCCGTGCTCTGCAGAACGGAGGATTCAAGCCGTTTGAATCTCCCGTTCTGCAGAGCACGGAAAATTGAATTTTCTTCGAATTTCTAGAGAGTGTTTGGAATAGGAGAGAGAAATTGAAAAGAAAAAAAATTAAATGAAAAAGGTACCGCTGCAAATAAGCCAATTTCAGTAAAAGTCCCGGTGCAAATAGCAAAACCCATATTTTATCTTTCTTTTCATTCTTTAGTAAAATTCCAAAATAATAATTTTTAGTTTTTTACAGTTTAATTTCAAATATAAATAAAATAAATCTACAGCTAAAAATAAACAATAATTTAATAATAAAAAAAAAACAAGCAGCTCAAAATCAACCAATCAGAACTTGGCGCAATGGGAAGCCAAACCCGTTTCCCGATCCACCACCACCACCTCCGCCGCGCCGCACTCCAGTACATCCTGCCCTAGCTTAGCTCCGGCAGCCTTCAACCCCTTCAACGACACCGCCTGATTGAACAAATTCAACGCCGGCAGCTTCCCCACCGGCGGCAATTTCCCATTCGGCAACAAATCCCTAAAATCCCTCGCCAACAGCGGCACCTCGAAATCCGATTTATCGTGCTTCACGACATTGTCCTTGGCGCTAATGTGCGCGCCGGGCTCCATATGATTCGTCGAAAAGCTCGCCTGATTTGGGAAATTAGGGTACAAACTCACGTAACCCCTCAAATACATCATATCAATCAGAAACTTCTTCCACGAAGCCTGCCACCCGTTCGTCCTCGATTTCGGAATCTGCACTGGATTCTGCTTCGCATCCTCCGTAAACCTAGTGTTCATATACACGTAGAATTCCCTCCATTGTTTGGGGAAGAACACGGCGCCCCAGCTACAGGGCAATTGGTGCAGATAGGGCGTGTTTGGGTGTATCCCTTTGAAGAACTCCGTCGCATTCCACTTCGGCCTCTCCTTCACTACCTCAACCAAACGCGGCGTGTACAGAGAAATCGAGGCTAATTCAGGTAATTGTACTTGTGGATCGTAGTGGTAGGATAAAAGAGCGTTCTTTATCCATAGGTAGTAGTATGGGGAGACTTCGATATCGTCCTCGAGTAAGAGGCCGAAGTTGTCGTCCGACGAAGGGTACCAGCTCTCGCTTACGGCACGGATCAATCCGCCCTGGATGATCCTGCGGCGGAGGATCTTCGGGCCGTGGGCCCACTCGAACGAGTTTGCGAGCTTTAGTGTGGCCTCGTCGACTTTGCTGTCCATGTTGAAGGTGATCGCCACCTCGTCGCCCAAGTAGTAGGCGTTTGATAGGGACTTTAGGAGGCGCGTGAGGGAATTGACGCGGTTTTGCGTGATGATGCTTTATTGATAGCCTCATTCGATTCCAATCTGCGTTTTTTTTCGAACGAAAAATTAAGGTTAGGAGTTGAAATCAAGAAAATGTACCGTAAGGGTGGAAATCGGACGGTTCAAATATGAATTGACACTTTCGGGAAAGATACATGTTTTTTTTTTCAGGTAGCGAAAAACTAATTCCAATTCCGTTCCAAAAATTTCAAAAAATTGGAACCTGGAAATTGGAATGGAGAAAATCTTGTTCCAAAACATAATCATATTATAATATTGTAAGTGTATTTTTCGGGGAAAAATCGGATTTCAAAAATATGTTCGGAAATTGGAATGAAAAAATAAATTCGGAACTTTTAGAATTCGGAATGAAAAAATATTGTTCCAAAACAAAAAAACATTTTGATCAAAATTGGCGGAATTCAAAAATCCCGTTCTAATCTCCACTTTTAATTATGTGTAGTCGTAGTAATAGTAGAAATAATAAGTATGTGTTAAGTTCTTACTAGGCAACGCCGTCGGTCGAAGATCGGCCATCCAAAGTGCCTTCGGCACCGTAGATCTCGGCAAAAGCACCAAAGTCGAGCCGTTCAAATTCGTTTCAGCAGCCATTTTCAACGCCTTCTTGACATTCGTTTCGATATCAGAAACCGCAATAACCACACTCGGATTATGAATCTTGATCAACCCTTTCATGCTAGCATACACACCTTGAAAAACGGGAACCTCCGAGTCGGAAACCGCAGTGGATATCGCACCAATCCCGAGATCGAAAATCTTGAACCGTCTCTCCTTGCACACCGACTTAGGCCACTTCAAAGCCACCGCCGCCTCCTCGCAGGGGCAGAAACCCCCGCCCGAGACGACTATGTAGGCCTTCTTCCCCACGGTAGTTCGGAATTTTTCGAGGAGGGGAGAAAGGGTCTTTACCTCTTCAATGGAGTGCGCGTAGAAAAGGGCGTCGATCTTTTGAGGGTTCATAGCGGCCCACTGAGTTATATACCCGTTGGAGAGCGCTTTCCACCATTGATCGTCTCGTACTTGGACAATATCCTTAAAGATCACAGTTGTTTCTGCCACGTAAGCCAATCTATGCTCGCTGTCTCCCCATGTCTCTTTATCCTTCGGATCCACAGGCAAAACGAACGAACCCGCATTTCTATACTTTTGTAGCTGATAACTGCATTTGCTTTCATGTGTTAATTTATTTTTATTTTTTAAATTTTGTCACAAAAGTGTGAAGAAATATTAATTAAATTTACCTCAAGTGCAGATCTTCCCCTGTCATGAAAGTGAAAGGCGTCTCGATGAAGAGGGTCTTCACTAGCTCGGCGGAGAGAAACCAAGAGCTCGATAAAAAGTCAACCTGCACGACTCGGTCAAGGGTGATGTCGTAAGCAGGGTCGGGCAAATAAAGGCCAGCCTCCTTCGAACGGAACTTTCTATAGCTCGGGAAAGTGAAGTCCTTCTGTCGGAAGGGCAAAATCCTTCCGATGCTACCTAGTACGGAGTTCTTGTACTTTTCCGTACCCGCCACGTGTGACAAGACCTGCAGCATCTTCGTACCGGGTATCATGTCGTCGTCTAGGATGTAGACAAGATCCGCTTCCGTCTGTAGCGCCATTTGGAATCTACCGTAGTACTTGAAATCGTAGCTCGAGCTTATGAAACTTATTTTGGAGTTGTTGTAGCTCTCGACTATTCTCTTTAGAGATTGCTCGTTCGGGCTTCCGAACGAAAGTACCCAAACGTGGTGGAAAGGGAGCGTTTGGTGGAGTAGGGAGTCGATTTGGGCGCATAGTGTCTTTCTCTTGAAATGGTTTAGAATTACGGTGACTTTCGGAATCTTGTTATTCGTATTATCCCACTTGGATTTCATCGACATTAGCTCGGAGAGGGTTTCGGTTCCGATTTTCGCCTTTTGAAAATCGAGCACTTGTTGGTAGAGTTCGGTTTTCAACTTGATCATGACCGCGTCGGTGGATTTCTTCTGCACGAAATCGATCTTTTCTTGCTCGCAAACTTGCGACGGGATTAGTGAATACTCTTTGACGAGGGAGTTGGATTCTTGATAGTGATTGATGACGTGCGGGGTGAGCGTGAATTTGCTTCCCATATACGGGTG